AGGAAAAATAAAATTTACTTTTAAATCAGAATACAAAATGACTACCCAGGATCAGTCTCTGACACAACACATAGAAACTACCCCTAAAGATTTCAGAAATTTAATGCAAGAATACTTTTGCTTGTGTAGAATGATTCATCTTCCTCTTATTCCTACCCAACTGCCTGAGATTTTCATGTCATCTAAGGACTCTTCCAATCCTAAGATGCTCCTTTTGAATACCATCTCACTTTAGAATACTAAATATAATAGAGAACTATTATGAACAGAATTTATTTAATTCTTCCATAATTTTAGACTACATATTTAAAAGTAAACAAGTAAACCAGCTTACAAAATTGTTTTCTATTTAAACAGCATTATATTCACATATTCGATTATTTACTTTTAATTTTTAAGGTCTATTCATTTATTTAGACATTGAAAATTAAAAAGATAGTCTATGGTTCTTTTTGGTCAATTTATATACTTATTTCTGTGGTTTGTTGGGTCACTGTTTGGGCTTAGGGTTATCAAGGATTCATATTTCATATATTATTTATCTCACACTGAACACTCCCTGATTTAAGTTTCTGAAGCCTATGAAAGCATAGTGAATATCTGCTGATTAACTAAAACCAACTGAGAACAAATGTCTCTTTGCGCACTCTATTTGGTATATTGCATTATTTGTCAAAAATTCTTCCTTTTTCTCAAGCGCTTGCTTGATGTTCAGTATTTGTATACTTCCATAATTGATTAAGGTTAAGCATGGCTCTTTGACTTGTTTTAACCATTAAATAAAGGGCATATGACAACTTTAGAGTTAACAAAAAGTTGCATTTATGTGTTTTTGCTTAACAGTGTCTTAAGAAATGTTGCATTTATGTGTTTCTGCTTCTACCTTGCTCTCTCAGTATGACATGCCTCAGTTTGCCATTTTTCTGTCTTCAGATTATCAGAATGAATATACATGAACCAAACCCTGTGATCCAGGTTAGCCTGTTTAGGCTAACTGAGATTAGTGGACCTGAAGACTACTGAGATTAAATGAATAGTTATTGAGCCATTGAGTTTCTGGAGGATTATTATGCAGCATTATCCTAGCAGAAAACTGAAAAGCACTCCTTAGCATAGCAAATTAGTATATATTCAGAGCCTCTTAATAGGATTGTAAATAAATGTGAAAAGATAGGAAACAGCTTAGCATGTTACCAATAGTAAGGAAAGAATACTAACATATCTTAAGTCTTCCATCTTGATTAAATAGTATTCACAGGTGATTTGTTATTCACAAACTAAAGCTATTACAGTTTAAAGATATTTTCATATTTCAAAGATTGAAATATCTAACAGTCATTCCAAGAAAAATGTGTGTATGTGTGTGTACGTGTATGTATATGTGTGTATGCATGTAAGTGTGTGTGTGTGTGTGTGTGTGTGTGTGTGTAGGTGCGTGTGTGTGTGTGTGTGTGTGTGTGTTTGTAGAAGGGTCATTTCAGAGTCAGTCTCAGGTCACTCTCTGGCTACCATTCAGACACTATAAGTACTGTAGAGTTAATACAAGCATTTCTTCACAAAGAACTAGGGAGATAGCCACACTGTGTAACATTAAATTATTTTTTAACATTAGAGATAGATTGTATACAAAGAAAATACATTCTCAATTACATATTGCTGAAAATATCAATGCATACTTCAGTGATTTAATAACTTATGGTACATATATATTTTATGTTTTAAGACATAATGTATCCCAGGGAAAAATAAGCTTTCTCTTGAAGAAGTTATTTTACATTTGATGTAAATGGTCAGAAAGTATTGGCACAAAATAAGACATTTCAGCTTTCATGTAAGTTTTCTGGCTATGATAGATTTCTGGGTCCCTTAAGTTCCTGCTCTTCTAATTAGCTGGATAGTATGAAATAAAGACTCCCAGGGATGAAAGCACAGCGAAAATAACCAATACAATTCCTTAATTTTACAGATTGTTAAATGAAGCTCAGATTTTTCCAGGTTCATAAATTTTATTAAACTGCAAATCAATATCCATCCCAGGTATCCCTTTAGTCTTCCATCTCTATAGGACTACTACTCAGACACATGACTCCTGAAATACTAGTCAGGCATTTGAAATTTGACAGGTGTAAAATTAAATTTACTTCTATTTTTCACAGCTAAGTGTGGCTCTCTCTTTTTTTTTACTCAATTAAATTGTTATTAAGTATTAAGTAGTATGAATGTTGGTATCAGCAGGAAAAAGTAGCACAGTCAAAATATAGTGATTTAGGAGACTTTAATGCAAGGGCAGTTTCAAAGTATGAGGGCAAGTTCAAAGAAAACCAACAAGGCGTATGGAAGCACCCTGAGTTGAACAGCAGCAGGAGATATGAATATTACTTGGCTTGAAGAGGCAGTGGAAAGGAACATATACTGAAATTTACAGTGGGCTAAAGTTGGTGATGTAACTACAACTACAAGAGAGTACTGCCCCACAAGAGCTGTAAAATTTGGTAGATAAACTCAACAGGGAAAAATTTGTGACCCGGCAGGGAGAACCACGGAACTAAATAACTTCACTCTACACTAGCATATTCTCTCCTGAGGATAGATTCCATTACCCAGACTCAACAAGATGCTAAGGAAAAAAAAAAAAAAAAAAAGATGATTGATAAAGACAGTAAAGCTTGGTCTACTGGTACCAAAGCAGGGTGGGGAAGGATGAGCGGGAAACCTAGAATGGTAAACCGAGTATATGTAGCACAACTGTACAGTGTTTCAAGAAAGAAACAGAAGAATCTTTCACAATCTCTCCTCCTTCACTCAATCCAAATTCATAGTGTATTTTGGTTCATCTAAAACTCCAGTGGAATTCTGTCTTTCCGTGGAGTGGTTTAATGGATTGAAACAACCAATTGTGATAAATACCAACTCTCATCACTTCTCAGAATTAGGTAAAAAAAAAATAAATAAATAAAAATAAAACACACACCACAAGTGATTTAGATACTCCACCATTCATTATTCACTATTTCTATGTGTTTTTTTTATGAAACCCAGGACATACTTAGCATAGCAAAATCAGAGTTATGAGTCTATGAATATGGATGAGGATGTGGTTTTGCAGAACACACTCTGAGATTCCATATGGTAAAAGCTCTTCTTCATGTATGTTACTTAAAAAAAAATAGCTACACCGCATCTGAGGCCCTTCTACCACAGTATGAACAATTTTATGACAATGATCCAAACCCGACAATAAAAAAATGGAAATATAGCCAGCTTAAAATGTGTATTGGTTCTGGGGAAGAGGCTGAAGCGAGTTGCCGAAGAAGAACCATGATGCAAATCCATTCTGCATGTATCGGCCTGCACTTTCCTTAAGGACTCCTGGGCAGTGAACAGAAAGTGCCTGCAGATAAGTAGTGAGCTGGAGAAACAGTAAGGCTGTTCACCCAACCTTCTCTTCCCTAGAGGGTAGTTAGAGCTACACCCTATGGGGCAGAGAGGAAAGGGTGTACCACCTGTGTTACACCTGTGTAAAATAAATTTTTTTAAAAAAATTAGGCTCTTCACCATCTATTGAAAGACATTTCATCTCTTAAAATGACATAGAAGGTCTGGAATAACTAAATGATACCAAGAAAGTCATATATATTTAGATTCATAATGGTCATGTAAATGAAGCAGTTTGCATCTGGAGAATGAACAAATTTCTGTGTAATCAAAGTATTTTTTACTTTGAAGAACTAAAGACATGTTTGGTATAAATGAGGTACCAATTTCAGAAAATATTCACATAATTCTATGAATATAATTTTGGCTTTGCATTTCTACTTCTTATTTTGGAGTCCAAACTTTACAATATAGTAGGCATGGATTTTTACAGTGTGGTTAAGTTTCAGAGGAAGTTAAACAGCAAGATAATAGTAATCCTTGGAAATACAGAGAAAAATATGTCAATGCCAGAAATACTGGCCTAGAAGTCCAAACTTTAAGCATGATTTATACCTGTTGAATGCTTATCTCAATACCCATAATAATAATGTTTTGATTAATGGTGCATGAATGAATAAATGAATTAGTAAATCTGGCTTCATTAAGGTATCTTTTTCATAAAACTACAAAAATTTAAACTGAGAATCTCTGTCTCTGGTAATGAATTTCTGTCAGAATCAAGATATGGAATGACTAAATACCCCCATGTGAATCAATAAAGTTTTATTTCAGCCGCAGAAATAGAAATTCAGCTTAGGAACTTAAACCAAACAAAGATTTGAAGCATTTGTTTTAATGAGGCAGAATTACAGAGCTGTCTATGTCTAAAAAAGGGAATATCACCAATGTCTGAAGTGGTTTTTGCTCCAGCCTCTGTGAGGACTGTTATTTGAGTTTGTTCTTCTAACACATTTCATGCCCTCTCATTCACTCTGCTCACTGAAAGCTGGCATCCACATTTTCCAGTGGGTAGAGTCAATGCAGTGAAATTCTCTTAGTGTTGGCCAAATCTCTCTTGCTCTCTTAGACTTTCCTATTCAAGGCAGAACAAACACTTGTGGTATTGTCTATTTTCAAATTTTCTAATGCATTCTCCACAAGGCAACTAGAAGGATCCTTTTAAAGCAGAAATTTTGTTGTATTAAACCTCTGCTTAAAACCTTTTAGGGGCCCAGGGGCCTTAAAACCCTTTAAGTACCTCTGAAGACAGCTCAAATGTCCTGATTTATCCTCCAAGACTTTTGATGATCTGTTATTTATGTTGCTCAGGAGACCACCATTATAATTTAAGGGTGAGAAAATTTCCCACTATACTGGACTACCCCTGCAATGAGATCCTCAATTTTGGTAATAACCATCTCTTCATCATTCTGACGTACAAAAACATTTCCAGAGCCCAAATATTCCTGAGAAGGCCGAAGAACCTGTTTAATTTAAACTATTTCTCACTGAAATACTAAACTTCAAATATAGTGAGTTATTCATAGTTCACTTAACAAACAACAAGAATCATTTTCTCTTACCTCAGATCCTTCTACATGCTCCTCACTCTTCTCATCTGGAACAGTCCTTCATCTCCATAGACCTCACTATTACAGGAAGACCAACAAATATCACCTTAGATATCTTCTTTGTGCCCCCTCCAGATATAAGTAATGTCTCCTTCTGTGTTGCTGTCGAGACACCTTATACTTACCCTGGATGTGATAATTTAACAAAATAGCATGATCTAATCACTTTTTTTGTTTCACTTGCTACATTTAAAGCCAATTGAAAGCAAAAATATTATCCTATTCAAAATTGTGTTCTTGGTTTCTATCCTCTGATGCACTTACCAGGTACTGACTCATACTAGGTACTTAAATATAAACGAAGTGATGAGGATGGCACTAAACTTGGAACCTGATGAACTGAGTTTGAATGTGTACTTCAATACTATTTATGTAATCTTGGGCAAATTGCTGATAAACTCAGAGCATCCTCTGGTACTCCTTATCATGCAGGATTTCAGTGAGTATTAAATGAGTTAATATATGTGAAATATCTTTGAACACTGATTTACATTTAAAATCATTTTAAATTCAAACTATAGTTTTCTAAATGTTAGTAGAAATGCTGTTGAGCCATAAGTTTCATTTTCCTAAATGGCTTACAAACTTTCTGAACTGTGCAGCTTGTTAGCAAATTTAAATGGCTGTCCTACTAGGCATATATTTCAAAACAATTAGTCAATTCAACTATTTAATCAGCCTGTACTTGTGTGGAGGTTGTTTTGATTCATATTAAACTAGCTACACATGAATAATTTCACAATTATTTCTCTTTGAAATTGTATTTTCTCATTTCCTCTAAAATTTTGTCATAAATTGGACAAAACGTAGCTAAATTATGAAAAACACAATAGCTATGGACAGCTATGCATTAACAAAGGTTTTAGGGCAATGCTCTTTTTCTTTCTCAGAGCAAATTTCACTACAATTTTCTCTTAATTAATGTAATTGATAACAGTTATAGAGCTATCTGGCATTTGAAACGTACAGATAAGTCTTTTGCTATCCAAAGTAAAATTAAAAACTGCCAGTAGTCTTTTATTTTCAGTGGTAACTGGGAGTAAATTAAAAATTTAAAAAGGTGGTAATAACTGGCTGATATGTTCAATTTAAAAGACTATAGACCTGAGTTGCTCGTATGAGTAAGGAATGACCCAAAGTACTGTGACAAATGCAGAAGAGAAGTTATCCACCCTATGAATGTGGGATTCTTAAGCCTTTAACAGTTAGCTCTGTAGCTCATAAGTTACCCATCACAATTAATGCCAAGAGAGTTAATTTGATTAGCATCAATAATGGATTTATAAGCAAATAGGAACCAAGCCCTGTATTACTGTATCATTACTTATCAATATATCAGTGGATATTTGATTAAGAGATGTAAATATGTGCAAAATTCCTTTGACCAAGCCATGTGTAGCTCAAGAGAAAAAAGTGCTCACTTTGACCTATTAATTTGCTAAAGAGTTATACTAAGTAATTGACAACTAGGCATACTAATCTAGTCATTAGGACAGTGTCATCAACTCATTTTCATATAATATCAACAATTAGAAATATAACGAACAGTTATAATTGTATAATTACATTAGAACCTGCCTCTGACTTCTGAATAATATCAAGAATTTATGATTATGGAAACTGGAAGCATGGCAAAGAGCAAAAAATTAAACATTTTATTTCCAAGTCTACTCCTCAATGAAAGTTGAATCTCTAAGAATTTTGGCTCATGTACCTAACATGCCAACCCATTCAAAGATAATTGACTTTAACATTTGGGAATTACATGACAAAAATACTACATAAGGCTATGACTGAGAGTATCAAGAATTATGTATAGGAAGAGGAGGAGGGGAACCCCGAGAACAAATCTGCAGGCCATGCCTAACTTTGGAAATCAGAGTAGGAGAATGAGTAGTCAGGTTCAGAAATACAGAGTGTGGAATATCATGTAAAGCAAAGAAAAATATCAAAGGGAGATTGTAATGAATAAATGAGTATCTATAGAGATTTAACTGGTATAAGATGTAAATTTGAATATCTTGCTAGAGTCAGATTTTTTTTAAACATTTACAAAGCCATATCTTAACAAAATTATCAAGAAATAAAGATAATTAAAAACTTTTAGTATACCAGTAGATAATTGAGCCAAAGAAGCTAGGAGGTGTTCACATTAGTTATTAATATTTAAAAGTGTCAAATGCTTAATTTTAAAATTAAGTTGAAAGAAATATATTTATAGACTTGCGTGTGTTGAACCAGCCTTGCATTCCTGGGATGAATCCTACTTGATCATGGTGGATAAGCTTTTTGATGTGCTGCTGCAGTCGGCTTGCCAGTATTTTATTGAAGATTTTTGCATCTATGTTCATCATGGATATTGGCCTGAAGTTTCCTTTTCTTACTGAGTCTCTGCCAGGTTTTGGTATCAGGATGATATTGGTCTCATAAACTGATTTGGGAAGGATTCCCTCTTTTTGGATTATTTGGAATAGTTTCAGAAGGAGTGGTACCAGCTCCTCTTTGCACATCTGGTAGAATTTGGCTGTGAACCCATCTGGACCTGGGCTTCTTTTGGGTGGTAGGCTCTTAATTGCTGCCACAACTTCAGACCTTGTTATTGGTCTATTCAGGGTTTCGACTTCTTCCTGATTTAGGCTTGGGAGGATACAAGTGTCCAGGAATTCATCCATTTCTTCCAGGTTTACTAGTTTATGTGCATAGAGTTGTTTGTAATAATTCCTCATCATGGTTTCTATTTCTGTGGAATCTGTGGTGATATCCCCTTTATCATTTTTTATTGCATCTATTTGGTTATTCTCTCTTTTATTTTTTATTAATCTGGCTAGTGATCTGTCTATTTTGTTGATCTTTTCAAAAAACCAGCTCCTGGATTTAATAATTTTTTGAAGGGTTTTTTGTGTCTCTATCTCCTTCAGTTCTGCTCCAATTTTAGTTATTTCTTGTCTTCTGCTAGGTTTTGAGTTTTTTATCTTGTTCCTCTAGCTCTTTCAATTTTGACAATAGGGTGTCAATTTTAGATCTCTCCTTTCTTCTCATGTGGGCATTTATTGCTATATATTTTCCTCTAGAGACTGCTTTAAATGTGTCCAAGAGATTCCGGTATGTTGTGTCTTCGTTCTCGTTGGTTTCGAAGAACATCTTTATTTCTGCCTTCATTTCATTGTTTATCCAGTCAACATTCTAGAGCCAGTTGTTCAGTTTCCATGAAGCTGTGTGGTTCTGAGTTAGTTTCTGAATTCTGAGTTCTAACTTGATTGCACTGTGGTCTGAGAGACTGTTCGTTATGATTTCCATACTTTTGCATTTGCTGAGGAGTGATTTATTTCCAATTATGTGGTCAATTTTAGAGTAGGTGTGATGTGGTGCTGAGAAGAATGTATATTCTTTGAATTTGAGGTGGAGAGCTCTGTAAACGTCTATTATGTTTGCTTGGTCCAGGTCTGAGTTCAAGTACTGGATATCCTTGTTAATTTTCTGTTTCATTGACCTAATATTGACAATGGGATGTTAAAGTTTCCCATTATTATTTTGTGGCAGCCTAAGTCTCTTTGTAAGTCATTAAGAACTTGCCTTATGTATCTGGGTGCTCCTGTATTGGGTGCATATATATTTAGGTTCATTAGCTCTTCTTGTTGCATTGATCCTTTTACCATTATGTAATGTCCTTCTTTGTCTCTTTTGATCTTTATTGCTTTAAAGTCTATTTTATCAGAGATGAGAATTGCAACTCCTGCTTTTTTTCTTTTTTGCTCTCCATTTGTATGGTAAATCTTCCTCCATCCCTTTATTTTGAGCCTTTGTGTATCCTTGCATGTGAGATGGGTTTCCTGGATACGGCACACCGATGGGTTTTGCCTTTTTATCCAATTTGCCAGTCTGTGTCTTTTGATTGGGGCATTTAGCCCATTTACATTTCAGATTTTGAAATTTTCTTCTGGTTTTTAAAAATGTCAGTTTTACCTCTTCCCTCCCCCTACTAAATAATTAAAGACAAATCTGGTTTTATAATAAATATCTTAGTTAAATAGACAGAAAACAATGCATCATATGGCAAAGAATGCTGCCAATTTTGGAGATTATGCAGAGTGTGAAAATCAAAACTTATGACTATCACTGCATAAATTTTAATGACTTCCACCTGTTTGAGGGTAGGGTTTTCTTCAGTAACAATAGTAGCTGGAACACAGATTCTAATTGATGTCAGTAGTCGAATATTACATATATATTAATAGGCACTGAGAATATAGATTTCCCTAGGTTGAATGGTGAGGATTAAGGTTTATTCAGTTTTATTATAGGAGAAACTTTGGTCATCTTGAATGTCTGAAAGAATATCTCACACGTAATTTGAGCATAGTAGGAATCAATATATTGGTTGGATTGTTAATTTCATGTCCCTAGTTCCATATGAGTAAACCAAAATGGGGTGTATCTTGTCAAAAGTTAGACAAATGGAAATTAGGCTTCACAAGAAGAATCTACAGAGAGATAGAAGAAATAATTTGGTTTAAGTAAGCCTCTAGTAACTTTATTCAAATGTGGTCAGTCCTTTCACAAGAGCTAAAGTATAGTATCATAGGTAGGGACATATGTCCAAGGAAGGTTATAACTCAGCTGGAAAAGCTATAACTACCAATCACTCTTAACAGAAAAGTCCCTGTATAGATGAGGCTGAATTTATCCTGAAGACATATTCTTGTTTGTACTGTATGGTGTCTTAAAAGTTAACTTGAATATCATTAGCCAGGGGCTATGCTTTCTACCCACTATTCCCAATCATTTTAAACTAGATCTGCTTTACTTTTATATTTTTTAACTGGCCTCCTAGACACTTAAGTGTGAGATGCTTGCTTGGGCAAACAAAACACACACACACACAAAACAAACTTGTCCATGGTAGTATTTCAGTTTTTCCCAGAAAAAGATCCCAGATAACAATTCCAATAAAAATATTGTATTTGGGAAGATATTCTGGTAAAAACTACTAAGTAAATAAGAAATAAATACAAGAGATAAAGATATGTAATAACAGTTGTGTTATTATGCTAGTTGCTGATGTAGGTAATTTGACCTTAATTCTCTGGGGAGCTTTGGAAGTCAATATAGAACAAGGACATCCTAACTTAAGGACAAAAGAGGTGGTACACTTCTCAAATTCTAGCCAACAATTGTTGAAGGCTAATAGGGTAGGGTAGGGAAGCATTAATTTTCAGAAACTTCAGGCCAGACATGTATGCCAGCCTTGAACAGTTAGAAATATACTTCCTTGGTAACCTTTAAGGAATATGGCATGGCCAGCCAGCATCTGTGAGAGTTAGTGTTTATTTAAGATGTGGTGGGGAAGGCTGTATGTTACCTCAATAGCTGATACTATAAGAGCTTTGCACATCAAAAACCAAGGGGATGAGAACACAGTAAGTGGATCTTACTGATTAGGAAATTAGAACACCAATGCCAGGAGAGGGACCAATGGAGGGAATAGGTTCATATTGGTTTGAAAAATAGTTCCAACTTAATCCACTGATATGCAAAATGTTCAGGTAGTCAATCGACTACAGAATATTCATTGAGGGACATTCTAGAAACTTAGGTTATTGCAATGTTTCAGTTATAACACATTAAAGTAATCCAATAAAGCAAAGAGCCAGGTGATTGTGGAAAATTTTTTGTACTCTGCATTTTTTCTTGATTTCTTATGTCTATTAACTTGTGAGAATATTCCTGTGCTTTTAACAAATATTAACCAGTTAAGTGTGCAGATGTAGAAAAACCCAATATCTTATGAAGATGTAAAATCAGAATGAAATTAAAGATTAAAAATAGCTAAAAACTATTGCAATTTTAGCTTTTCCTTCCCACTCCCTCAATCCAACCCCTACACTAAGCTAAGTAATGGACAGACATCTCAAGACAGACTACCTTTTAATTTAAAATGACTTATATTTATGTCCTGGGTTTCTTAGTTCTACAACTGTAATTAATAACTTTAGCATAACTGCTATTTTCCCTGAACTTCTTTGTAGAAATACAAATTCCAGATGGTGGTATCTTAGAAAATTCAGTGCACATTGCTTAATTTATTGATGATTTGTAGTAAATAATGCCGTGTCACTAGGCAAATTTAAGCCTTAAGGAAGACACTATAGCAACACTAGTTTATCCTTCTTCAACTTTTGTCATGTAAATTGCTATAAAATATGAGAATAAGAAGAATATATTAAAAAGTTAGGCTTATAAAATCTCAAAAGTTTTCTTAGGATCTGGCTTAATTCATGACTTAACTAATGTAAACCATGTATTCAATAATGTGTAAACATATGAAGACTAAATGTTATTTGCATTATTTTCATATGTCTTGGAGCACAATAGATACAGAGAAAGAGATTTATAAAAGCATATCAAATATGATAATCATCAGCTTGAATGAGATAATTAAATTGTAATGATCACCAAGTGAATGTTTTTATGTAGTTTATATAGAAAAGTTATTTTGTTATCTAAAGAGGTATTTCTCACCTGTAGGACTTAAAATTCCTCTCTGTGAGATGAGGCTTATGTTGTTGAATCAATTCAATCCTGTGTCTAGTGTTCAATCATTCAGTTAGTGACATTTAGTCTCATGAATGTTCCAGATTTAATTAGATTAGAAAAATTAAACATAAAATTTCATAAAAAGTGAATATATACACAAATATCACACTCTCTTGATTATTATTCTAGTTTAAAAATTACTTAAAATCAGATAACACTAATCCTCTAGTGTTAACCTAGAATAGCCAAAGCAAGCAAGTTACCACTAGTAACTGCTTTGGCTATCTTAGGTCTTTTCGATTTTCATAATAGTTCTAGAATTAGCTTGTCAATTTCCATAACATTCCTTCATGAGAACTGTGATTGGGACTGCATGAATTTATATATTCATTTAGTGAATATCAATATATTTTTTTTTAAGGAAAAAGATTGATAAACTTTATTACACATATAAGTTCCATAAAAAAATACAAAGTAAAAATACATGTTAAAAAATAAAAAATCTTCAACTTATAACAGGCAAAGGGTTACTTTCCCTGAAATTTCTTTGTAATCCCAAAATAAATACTTTCAGTGCTTTCACGGTCATTAGTGGACATGCATAGAGTGGCAAAAAATTTCAGTCAATCAAC